GCCGGTCACGTCGCACTCGGCTGCGAACCTTTCTAGGGAGCACTGGAGATCAATTACAGAAGATGCTAATGAAACAAGGTCGTCTGCAAACAGTAACTTTCTCGACTTCACATCCCCTACACCGATACACTCATCGCCTTGCAGCTCCTGACAATTTTATCCATGTATAACTCAAATGCATACCCTTGCCAACAATGAAAGCAACCCGTACTTCTTGAATAAATTTGAAGATGATCATTTCTATGGGAGTTAAAGGGTTCGTGAACGATCCATATTATGCTTCTTGGCTTTCGTAAATTGACCAATTAGCTGCAATCTGGTTCACTTTTTGCATAGCGATTTCTGTTGAATGAAATAGGGAAGAATGTCTAATCGTTATCTTAAAATGTACAATGACGCTGAATAGAATGACCCGTGTTTGGCAAAACCAAATGAATGATGACTGAATTTTACTTTATTACATCACCACAGTCACAAGTACCGATTGTCGTATAATTTCCATCCTTGCCGTTTTCTCTTCAAAGCTCCGTTTAAACCACGAGAGATGTTTATGATAGCAGCATTGAAAATAAATTGATTGACGGAAGTCATTTTGGATACTCAAGTACTGCATAACCTGTAGCTCAACTAGTTATGTTCTCAAGTACCAGTCTGAATCTACGTTTGACCTATCTTGTCATGCTATCTGCATATCGTTTTACCTGCACTCTAAAATTCAAGTTTTACGCCGGTAAAAAATTGCAGATGTCAAGAAATGTCTGAGATGGCTTTTCAAATCGAAACCTCAAATGGTTAATTGCCACGTGCAAGTAGCGATATATGCATTCAGTACAAATAGTACTGATAGACTACCACTGATTTAGTGGCCCGTCATGGCAAAAAAGAAAAAATTTTGGCCCAAATTCGAAATTCTGACATAAGGTCCAGTGAACCACTCATCAATACGGTACTAGCCGAATAGATTAATATTTTAGCCATGAATACATCAAAATGATATTATCGATCTATACATTCTATCATTTCTCCGTAACACTGCCAGTTTGCTAGCAAACCCATACTACTGATTTGATTTTAGTATATTTATCAATATATCAGTAATGTTTCTATATAGTCTATTCTCATTACATGGTGATAACCTGTTTCTTGAATGGAATAACTCATTAGTATAGAAGAAATGCGATTCACATATCCAGGTGATCATTTAAAATGTAGTTACGAATCACACCTCCAATGGATCATTCTAATTTATGACTATCAACCAATGTATGAACTTTTCAAACCAAGTTATTTGAACTAGGTGATTTAATTCAGACTAGTAGCTTACCCGCTGTAGTGAGAGCAATCTAATTCTTAGTTTTATACTTATTAGAAAGATACAGCTTTGTAATAAGACACACATAACATTCTACTTTTTGATTTTCTTAAAGCACGATGATTTAACAACGAATGACAACTATATCTTAATCTTATCATGCTGTCGAAAGCCATCAATGAGCGAAATATTGGATAAGAGTTGTCTGTTACTCTTGCAGCCTGCAAATTCGTTCAGTTTGTGTTCTTTGAAAATTCACTGTCAATTCCGTTATCCAATAATACAGTGAATCAGGACTGTGAGTTGAAATTCAACGATCAAACCTGGTTCTGAATATTTCGTTACAGTAATTTTTCTGGCAGTCAAAATATAGCGGATTCTGCAACCAGAGTAATTATTCAAAACAGACTGAATTGTAAAAGGAGCATTAAAACATACCTTGATTTGAAACTATGTCGAATAACTGTATTTGCGATAACGAATAATACAAAAGTTGTCACAACTGTAGATGTCAACTTAAAGCAGCATAGAAAAACCAGAAACACCGACTGTATCACAGTCAAGCGCCATTTGGTAGCACACATACGAGAATATAAGAAACATTACTAGCAAAACTTTACGCAGCTCACACACAGTCGGTTCCATCTGTACCACATTTTTACTTTTTGTTTAGAAATCATGGCTGAATTTAAATGACTGATGCGGCGAAGTTTTTAAGCCTTTTGGCTCCCGGTTAAAGATTCCTTTTAATTGAAATCAATCGTAACTCCAGGAAAACCCTGATTCCGGGAGGTCGCAAATAAATTACGTTACACAGCGTACGTCAGTTTTTGGAATTAACAGGACACGCCAGTCTGTTAGGGCCTTCACTATAAACTTTCCTCTTCGGCAATATCAGGGAAGACACTCACGCCCACCTCTTCAATTCTACCCTTCCAGCCGTAAATGTGTTATGGCGATAAGACGGAGTCAATACCTAATCCCTAAATCACTAAAGCCGAAGAATGCCAGCTATTTGTCATTGAGCGAGCCAGGGAAGTAATAAAGTTGGTAATTTCAGAGTGCGGCCGACCACATCCCAAAAACGTTGGACAATACAGTTGATGAGAGTGAAGCCTGTCGTTGTCGAAATCAGAAGTCACAGTAGGCCAGGTACATAGCTAGGCTCACTAACGGGAGATGATCGCCGACTGGAACCTCGTGGACCGATTAAACTGATTTTTCGTCCACGGACGGGAAGGCAGCGCTTGGAGAGATAACTCGAAACCGCAAGGAATGGCAGTCATGCTGAGCAGGGGCGATTCATCGTCAGTTACCAGCCAGTACATGTGGTCAAAGTGATAATAACAAAAATTCAGATAACTTATATAGCCATATAATCATATAGTCAAATAGTCAAACGCTTCAATATAAACAATATAAAAGAAAAGCAAGATATAAAATATCACAGATATCATATCAGTTCCACTTGTGTCACAGTTTTTCCAGCAGTTGATCCCTTAAAGAAATTACCTTTTCGAACTCGTCACGATCAAGCGATCCGATAAGAGACACGATTCTGTTCATGGCGAAGACATCACGCTGATCAAATGCCAACCGAGCCGCTTCTGAATAACACCTGACAGACGAGGCATAAGCTACATATGAAGTTTTAATAAAAATTCTACCGCATGGCAATCAACGCTGTCAGCTTCTCCGTCTGTGAAAGCTTCGGCATTAAACTTTCAGCAAGGGCGGTTTGATCATATTTGCAGAAAATTTCCACGAAAGGCTATAAACAGAAAATTAAATTCAAAAATAAAACTAATTCGGATCCCTAACTGAAGCACATCTGACTGACGCAAAATGTACGAGTCTTGCCTTCGTTAAGTCCGTTAAGGAATACGGCATGCTTTACAGCGCTTATTGTTTCAATATAAAATGGTGACAGTACCCGTAATCTCATTAACAAAATGAAGCAAAATGCGCTCTCTAAAACACTAGAATGATTATGGGCTATTTAAAATAGCCTCTTAGGCGCGGAGGAGCAAGGCAACTGAGTAATAATGAATGAAACTCGGTTTGGAGGACCTACTGCTTATTATTTTAGATTGAATAATAAATATTTTTTTCGTACGTTGGTCATCACACTTAAATCCAGACATTACCAGAGAAAGAAATAGGTGGCTCAGATGCATCAAGGACATTTTAATTATCTAGTCTTGCAAATATGTCAAACGAACGGGATCGCGACTTTCCGTTCTCACGCATTATCAGCTACAGCGGACAATCACACCGTCACAAACAGTCACCAGCATTTCCTTGAATAAACCACCTGAGATAGGGGCCGAAAAGTCACAAGTGGTCTATAACCCCATGGACCAATGGCATGGCACTATGCTTTGTATAAATAAACCGCTTTGTGTCATGTTTCCTGCTAAATTAGTGCTACAAAATCCGTAGTGACTTTTACTCAACAGAAGAAAACACCACTCAGTAGCGAAACGCATGGAATTCGTTTCGGCTAACATCCTGGTAGTCATTCTCTGCTAGAATGGTCTGAAAATTCCAGCAATTAGACAACTGCAGCTGAAAAGAATTACCGGATGTAATAGAAATCATGTTCCATATATTTCGCTTTTGTACTGTAGCTTTTCTGTCAAAAAAACATAATTAATTTTATTATTGCCATCACAACAGCACGATACTTCGATATGCAATAAGTAATTATTGCTTACTAAGTAACCAATGGGTGATTTCTTAGTTTTCGCAAAATCTTCTAATTCCTTCCAGTATCCTGCATCACCATAGGCTTGAATCGTCCACCACCAGTACCTGCAATAATTAAAAGCAATAACTAATGGAATCTCGATACATCTACTGACAAAAAGAAACTGTTATGTACTGCTGATCAGAAATTTTGAATTCCTTGCGCAGTTTCTCCGCTTCCTTCTGCTCGCCGTTGGTCAAAAGCCATCGTACAGTGTCCCGCAAAGAGCACTCGACAAACGGAACCGAAAAGCGCTCTTCCAGATGCACCTGTGTTTTTAACAATTTCACATTGTCAGCTGCCTGACTTTGAAAAAATTCGTCCTTCGCATTTCGAAAACACTCCTCCGTCTTCGTCAGCAGCCCAAGCTTTTCGTTCACTTCAAAAATCTGAAAAGAAGATATGCAACCGCTTCAAAGTTAATTTCACCTTGGTTTAAAGATAGGTAAGTTGAAAGTAAACCATCCATATTAAAAGAACAATGCCCCCAACACGGCTATAGACTTAAATATCTTTAAGAGTCAGCGGACAGATGAACAGCTGTGTCAAGGACTCATTAGAAGTTGAAATACAACGATGTTGAAAACCATGCGATACCAACTGTGAGCGGATTGAAAAACCTTGTCGCACATGTCGCCAAAAAACTATTAAAGCAGCAGCACCCACAGAGAAGTCGATTTTCATTTCTATGAGATAACGGCAGCACCACAAAACCACCCTCAGCTTATCAGCAACGACCTGACATGAACAAAATCCATGAGATAGCAACCGAAACGTCGGTCATCAGATATATCACAATGCTGCATTGTTAATTAATAAAAAGAATTGTCTTGTTCCACACATCACGCAATAATCTTAAATCTATTGTTTACTCCATACGAGTTTGGTCTTGTCACTGCGCTTTGATGTCTAAATATATATAGTACCTTCGCTGGGAAATGAGCAATCGCTCGCTAATAATAATATATCTGAGATAACTGGTGCAAAACCGCTATCTATAGCTGAAAGGAAAATTATGATTTTCTGTAGCTCTCCATAGCGAGAATCGAATAGCTAGCACACAAAATATATGCAAACAAACTTTTAAAATAAAACTAAATATCATAAAGGACGACTACTTTTGATGCACTGTAAAGCATTATTACTCCTGTACTTCCTTAAAGTCTGAATAGAAAATTAGTAAATGCAATAAGGAGATCACGATTCAATAAAACCATAAATTGAAATATTTTTCTACTTTCTTCAATTACATTAGTATTCTAACAGCCACAAACCGTTGCGTCAGAAGCCTCCTTCAAGTTGAACAATGCCTGGTTGAAAAAATCGTCCGTTTCCTCTGCGACACAATGCGCCATATCTTCATTTTCTTCTTTTAAATACTAATACAAGCTTTCCATTAAAAAAACCAATCGTAAAATCTTTTACAGCAAAGACTCGTTATCATGATAATGCTTCTTGGTAAAGCCGAATTCACTAAGTTAAACCAAATATAAACAGCCCATGCAGTTATGCATCAAATTTAGAGTACGTTTATACGGGTCTTCGTCTATTGACAGCAGACCTAAAGCTGCCATAGGTAGTCCTACAGTTGACTAAAGCAAATACAAGTTGGTTGGAGAGTCACATGCATCTTTTGAGAATAGCTACATTTCAATTTTCCAACATACCTACTTATTACTAAATGATTGAAAGCTTAAATAATATTCTTGAAGAACTTCTTATGGATCAACACTTCTCCTAGATCCTTACGTCAGGTACGGTGTGTAACTGTTATTAAGCGTCTTTCTACTTTGCAATAAATTACTTATTCACGCTCTTTCCAGGATGATCACGAAAAGAGGAACAAAATGTTGATGTATTTATTTAACATCGGATAGTGGCAATTTTGACTGTGCTCGAACATTCTCTTGGTCGGCCAGTGTAGGTGCCCGCATTACAGGTAACATGGATGGCATCATAACCTGCTTAAATTGTTTTCCTAGGCAGCTGAAAGCAAGGGTGTAATGCAATTCTACATTTTAATTCACTGTAAGTAACCTGAAATTCCCATAAAGTTAAAAAAAGAACATGCTCTGCTAAAACAGATGAAATCATTTTAAACGGCAACATCACCATTCTGGGCAAATTCACCAATCAACATTTATGGTAAGTGATGGCAGTATACTACGATGTAATCAAATTCCTCTTTGGGTCCTCAGAATAAAACCTCTCATTCTAAAACAATCGTCAACTCTGTACTGTTATGAAAAGCAACAAAATATATAGACTCTTTGCAAGGGAAAACAACGGAGAACAGTAGCCGGGCGTTTAACCATGATACAAGTTGCGTCGCTTTACATTATATATGTGAAATATTTAACTCATTGCATATATGACCAGAATATATTTGTCAATGCAAAGTAAAGGGAAACTTCTCACAGCTCCCTTGTCGCAATAACGAGGTTTGGCAGTAGAAAAAAACGTTATTTTTAGTATTCACCGTTTTGTAGTATTTGAAGCAGACCGGAAATTCCCGTAAAATCAGGCTGAAGTCTGTTTTTCTTTCCACTGTGTTCTGCATGTAAAGAAGCACTGAGTAAACTAAAAGACAAAGTTAAAACGTTTTCTTTTTGCTGCCGCTCTTCTGAAAAGTCAAGATATGTATAATATTCCACTAACTGGAAACATGAAGCACTACTGTAGTGGTGCTGGCCAGATGAGATCACTCAATATGTTACTTGTTCTTCCTCATTGCCTTGAATGGAAATTTAACTTCTACGGATATTTACATTTTAATGATAATTGACTTTGTTACCCGTTTTTTGTTGGATATGTTAAGACATTCGGTATTCCCTCTTTTCACTGTTTTCTCCACCGCAATGTATCCCTACAGCCATCGCTTGGTCTGCAATTTGAGGATAATTGTACCTCCCCTCAAACCTTTTAAATTCACCCCAATACTTTCCATTCATCAATTTTTTAGCCTGTCTGTGTTCTTTTCAATATTAACTTAGCATAATAAAAAAGACGTTTATGGTAGCGTGCAAAAAAGGGCGAAAGTTTCCATTTTTATATTTTGGGTAAGAGAAAGTTAAGACTGATATGGGTTTGTAAATTTTTACCACCGGCTTCGTCAAGTAGCATAGTTTCTTGATCACTTGTATCTGTGCTTTGCTGGACGAAAGACAGTGAACCGAAGCCCCAGCCAAGTCACCTGCTTTTCAGCCTTCCAATGTAAATAAATTAGTATGATTTGTGGGAAAAGAAACAGTAAGCTACACATACGCTGTAGACAGTGCTTTCGAAATAAGGTACTCTTGGCTGGGTTCGCTGCAATGGAGATCAGCGCCGCGCCGCAAGTTCCAAGAAAAGAATGCTAAAACAAATAGTTCCCATCATAGAAGCATCACGCAGAGCGACATCAGAAGACTTACACACTTTTCTTTCTCTCAGGATACGACGAAAGTTCAAGGCGCCTTGAAAAGCAATCACGGATACTCTCAAATATGAGAAGCTCCTTCTCCAAATTAGGCAAACACTGTTGCAATGATTTTTGCATGCAGTCTAAGAGCCAAAAGTGAGACTCCCCGGTAGACTATCTTCACGAATCCACACGGAAAACAATCAAGGGAGGATCGAAGACCAGATGACCGATTATGCTGAACATCTGATATTGTCAAGCCTTATAACTAAGTCCGTGTAGCTCGCCAGATTGGCGAAGGATCGAACTGTTTTATTAACTTCGATCATTAATAAGCTTTTACTGTTGGAAGTGGCATCACAATTTGTTAAATTTTATGTAAAATCCTTTAAATTAATTCCCTTACTCAATTCCGGATTTTGACTTTCCGACGCATTTGCAAGCGCCTTTTCGGTTTTGCCTAATCTGAGCAGTAGGAAGACCTGCTTTTCTGTGTCCGCTTCGTAGTCCAAAATCTAAAAGTTAAAGAAGTAATCAAAACCATAAAATTAGATTAACAAAAGCAAGTATATACGATTATCAGTTTGGCTTTCATATCTGTTTACTGAAAAAACAACTTAATTTGCTATAAGGAACATGGCAGAATAAACTTAGTGACATAATCAATCTATTTTATCTAACCTATAAAAACAGCTCTCCATAGAACATAGGATATGAGGAAAACACATCATCAAACTTTTGTTAAGAAAATGGTGCGGACAACGACCTTAAATTCTTCTGTCTCAGTTTAGAATTAGAGTATATGGCACCATTGATCTATCAGTCAATAACTGTGAAAGCCCTCCACACGTACCATGGCGATTATAGAAAATATGACCAGCTGTAATTTGTTATAGAGTTGCATTGTTCGACTGAGTAACAGCGATGAACACTTTCGGTCATACAGCTAACGAAAAAGAAAAAATGATTTTAAAAAGTACTTTCGCAGCCAACTCTTTGAATCCCAGCTGCATCGCCATTTCTGCAATCGATGAATAATATAAACCGGGCATTCGCGACAATCTGTTCTCTAGTTTTGACACGATATCAGTTTCACTGCGGGATTTATCCTGAAATAGCTTCCGCGCCCACTGCATCAGAATGCGCTCGGTGCCAATCTTTGGATCAAGCCTAGAAATGGTACCAAATTCAGAAATCGAGAAATTAAACGAAAAAAATAATAAATCAAAATCAAAGCAGACTGAATGAAAGCACTGAAATAATGAAATCCAAACCCCAAAAATTACGTAACTTCGATTAATGCCGCAAAAAATTCTTCATTATAAAGCTTTCATAATAATAACGAGCTAAATGCGTACCATGAGCTGGTTTTTCACACCTATATCCATATCTCTCCATGTGCAGCCTCAGCCCACATCACGCCTATGAATGAATCTCAGGTAAATAAAACATCAATACTGACTTGAATAAGCTGTAATTTAGGGGTAAAACAAAGCATGGCAAGAAAAATATTCTTTTAAATTCGTTATCATTTCATCGTGGAAAAATTAATAATCAAATGAAGAATTTTTCTTATTTAACCATTACGTACAGAAATCAAGAGCAAAATTAACAGGCGCTTCTGACACAGTAGCACTAATAAGGCAATCCGTTGACCGATTCAAACAATAAACACGAAAAAATAACAAATCTTGATATGCTGGATTGTAAGCAACTACTTCTCGAAATGAACAGAATTTAACTGATATGAGTTGAGCAAGTAATTAAGATGCTAGAAGAGAAAGTCGCAAGACGAACTCTGATATCCAAACTACAATGAACAGAATTTAGGGGAGATCGAGGACTAGACGTTTTAAGTATTTTGGACTCTTGAAACTGCCGAGATACTGAGTTCTATCAGAGATCGTACTTGACAAAAAATCTCTACTATGAGAAATGCCTCATGAAGCGGCTGAACCTGCAACCCAAAAGTAATAGCGGGCTAAGAAACTTCTTATGGCAATGACCATGATAACTGTTGTCTATAATGTTGGTGTTCTCCTAAAATCTTTTAAATCATTTTGTGCTTTCAAAAGTGGACTGAAGTAAAATTTAGTTCCTCAATCTTCAGGAAGACACTTTTATCTTGCAAGGAAAGTCTGTTGCTTGTCTGTCTCTTGCTATAAAATGCAATTTTTCTGATAAAGAAAATTTGCAGCAAAATCATGAAAAATTACCAATGCTAGGGATGTGTGCCAGGGGAGGGCTGAATTGACGGAAATACTTAACCGAAGGGTAGTACTTACGCTAAATAAAAGATTTATTTGGCACTTGGTTCGACTAAGCTTGTTAGAAATAAAGGCAATTCTTTAAACAAGAGCGATTTATTTCATTCGTGAAAACATCTGATTGCAAATACTGGTAAATGTTTCTCCCGTTCTGATATCATGCTGCATTTAATGAATTACTATACCAGTACAACATCTCAGGGAAACGAAACTGCCATATTTTTACAACGCTGCTCATGGAAACCGCAAAGATGTTACCAAAGCTAATAGACATGCTGTAGTTGTAGCGTCATGCCGTAACAATTACGATGATGAGCAATATATATGCGCTGTCTCCAAACTCTCTAAATCCGTTTTTGGCTGCAGCTGTTGAAACAGAAAGCTGGATTTTGGAACTTTACACTAATCTTCGTAATACCAAAATGCATCGGTACGAATACACCGTTTTAAAGCTTGTGTTAAGCGAATGACTGCTGAAATATGTCAGTGAGCTCAGTCTGTAGGAAGTCAATCATTTATTATATTGTGCAACATAGCTGCTGTCAGTATAAAAGATCATCTTCAGACACTGTAAATATTAGATATACAAAGAAGCTATGCCTATGACTGAATACTACGACCACTTAAAATAAACTGTTTCTGTTAATCCGGATCTATCAGAATATCGTGTCTTCGAATCCTGATCACGTCAAGCAAATCCTATTTTCGATGTAGATGAATAAATGCTAATATATGAAGAAGCTCCGTGACCCAAAAGTAGAAGCGGCCATGGAGGATGAAAATGAAGATGAAGAAGATGTGGAGAAGCAACAAGAGACTCTATGCAGTGACGACTTAGCTGCCGACAATGCATTAAAAAATGTGACCTTTCAGGGTTTAGAGTATCATGATTTAAATCAGCATTGAATCATAAGCCCCATGGAAAAAATCGCAAACGCGTATTTCAACAAGACAAACATTTCAGCGGTTGCAAACTTTCATTCCCAAAGTGGAATTTATTTTCAAACATTTTCAACGGCCACAGTAAACATATTTTGCTGCCCTATTAACTGACATTCTAGAGGATATTACCTGAGATAGTTGCTACATGCAATAGCCAGGGGATATTCTGATCGATTGATCAGTCGGTCAATTAAACGAGGAACTGTAAGCGCGTTGAACCTAAAAACGAAGCATGAGAAAATAAAAACTACTGTCAAAGTGACAGCATCACTCAGTATAGGTCATAGGCATCGCGAAGTGTGAGTCTCGCAAGCTGTTCAAAATCCGCAGTGTGCGACAAGCTGAGGAAAAGAATGTACTATCACTTTCTGGTACGAACAGTTTGCCATAGGCGGCAGCCTAAACGAAGTTTTTTTTTACTCGGCTTCACAAAAACGTTTTACCAGTAGCTTTAACAAGAACAGAACAGACAAGCAATTACAGTATTTAAGAACAGAAAAATTTATGCGGATTGCCAGTGAGGGCTACTGTGTTTCGAATGACTGTTGCTAGTTGATGTCCCAAATCTATACTGAACATCCTCAAAAATGAAACGTTGAAATATCGGCTTATTTATACTGTTCTCTCACTATGGCAACGATCCTGCACACGAGATTGCCCAGATCTGCCATAATGATTGGATGTCGTTATCAATTATCAATCATTCTTCCTGCTTTATGGTACAAAGCAATACTTACAGCGTCAAAGAAGAAGCAGTTACCACAAAAATGCAGATTAGGCTCAAATCTGTTCACCCGTGATGCATGGTGGCGTTTTAGTATATGATTGTCATTTTTTTATTATCAAACAAATAACACCGGCTAGGGCAAAGAGATTATGCTTAACCAATCTATAAAATTGGAAACAATTTCTCTTTTGTAAACACAAGGAATTTCTCCTGAGCAGCAACGTCATTCATTGCAAAATCCTGTCATTCAATTTTCACTATGTGGTGGAAATAACCCGGTTCAGAATCCTGCACGTCATCTGCACTTCTCATTAACTTAATAAGAATATGCCTCTTCATGTTCCTGGAGCAAGTATTGAAGAAAGTGTTGAAGCATAAATTACGAACAGCATTTACGCTGTCAAAAACAAATATGACAGATCCCGGTGATGACCAGTGATGTGAAACCGAGTGGCAGCTCTTTAAGAACGGCATAATCGAGGCTACCCCAAAATGCTGCGAATTTAAACGGCTTGGCCTGCAATTTGGAGGTCAGAAAAGACCTTCC